ATGAATTTGGCTACTTGTGAGTTCTTTTTAATTATTAGTTCATGATTTTGGAAAAGAAGTTTCTGCGTAACAGATTTCTATTTATTTATAGATAATTATGATTCTTCTATTCAGGTAGATAGAATTTACTTTATAGCTCATGGAATTGGTGAACGTTTACTTGTCAAATCACATGATGCGGAAGGCAATACTAAGATGGATTTATTTGATCCATATACTCTTGAAAATCCTGTTAATGCTGAAGACTTATTTAAAATTGGTTCCACGATTCAAAACCCATATATCATAAGATCTGATCAATTAATTGGTTTAATTGATGGTTCTATGTCCATTTATAGTGGATTTATTTATAAAAATTGGATTGATTATTTACGACAACAACTTAATGACTACAATGGACTATTTACATTATCAGATAGAATTTTAATGCATGAAATGATCAAAAAAGCAGAATTCGAAAGTTACCAAAGTAGGTACGATATTGATCATATTGAGCAAGAAACATATCAAGGTCGACTATTAAAATGGGAATTAGATTGTCAAGTTCAAAAGTCATTAATTCTCAAGGCATTTCGATTTAACCATGGAGAAAATGAATGGCTACCGGTACAAGGAAAATCTCAACGTAATATATTTCCTAATTTTCATTCAGAGATTCAAGATAGACCACAGTATGTTATTCAATGCAAGGTACTTGGTAATGATGATTTATTCATGATCACGACTTTTGGTGTACTCATCTGGACCGTTATACCTGACAAAGGAATTAGATTACTTTATTATTGGGGAGAAGAGGATCTTTTCTATCAAGAATTGACTTATAAGAAACTATTTTACAGTGATTCATTTGCAAAAAGAATTCTTCCATCACCAAAGTTTGATATTGTTATTAAATTTAAAGAGTTATCATTTGGTCCCGAAGGTAGTCAAGATGTGAGTTATTTTTTTAAAGAACTTATTGAAGATTATGTTACCAATAAAATTTCTATAATATATTATGGAATGACTATTATGAACTCATTTCTAAAAATGGATGTTGATTTAATGATGGAAAAATTGTGTGAAAGTTGTTTTGATTTTAATTTTAAATCAAATAGTAGTGATGTATCAACTTCAAATATTCAATTGCTTAGCATAATTGGGGAAGCATTTCCTGAATTATTACAAAAACATCCAGATTATTTGGCCGGTTTTCTATCACGGGCTGCCTTCGTGATTCCTTTTATTGACCGATCATTAAAGGTTAAAGAGAAACCTTCCATATTTCATTCTTCACATCTTTATCATCATGGGATTTATAATTATTTATCCAGAACTTCAATTACAAACATTTTTATTTCGAGAATTTACGAACGTTGGAAACATTTTCAATACAATCAGTATAAAAATCGCTTTCAATCTAATAAGGATGTTTCATTGTATTCTTTTATAGAAACTTTTATAATACTTCCATTTCAAAATTGGTATTATTATTATAGTCTGGATTATAATATCACTATTAAATTATTGCTTCCTTTACCAAAATTTGTTTCATACCCTGAGAATTATAGTATATGGAAAGAGCTATGGAGACCTCTTCCAAGCAATTTCGTAAAATCGATTGATAAGGAATTATACAAATATTGGAATGGTGAAGCATTACTTAATTTTAAATGGAATACTTATGGTAGGAATTATTATCTGGCCATTTGGTTGGTTTATACTATTATTTTGGGTTCTTTTATGATAGCTGCTACAATGTCACATGTAATTTCATCGAAGTTTCTATTGGTGTTATTGCAAGCAACTTCTTTTTTTGGAATTTTTTGTTTGGTATTTGAATTTAGAAAGTTTATTTATTCTCCTTTGATTTATATTACTA